CATCAAATTGTCACAAATAGTTTTGCGCTATAAATACGGTTTGTCACAGTCTTGAATTTACAAGTCTCGTTAAATATTATGGTATCTAACAGGTGGCAGCACAAGTTACTAAGCTTTTCTAAATGATCGTCTAACAATACGTGGCTTTACTAAGTATTCATTAAGTATTTTTAATTACACAATTTAAGTTATGGTTTAGAACAGTGGCACACTCAAGATTTAATCTTAGAGAGCCGAATACTGCTTTTCCCCCCTTTGGTGGTGCCAGGCCCTTTTTCCTCTGTGAGTGTGCCACTGGTTTATAATATCGTTTCTTAAATATGTATTGCTATATTCTTCGTTTATATTTCGAATGGGATTTAAAGATATTTTTAAGGGTCCTAATCCCTTCGATTATAATTTACTATTGGAGACGGCTGTTAAGTGAACAACTTATGCATGAAAATTCAAGAATAATTTTGAAAAATCTTTTACCTATATTTCGGATAATAAAAAGCATAAATTGCTGAAAAAATTATTTTAAAAATACTGTACATTTTTTAGAACAATTTTTTAAGGAAAATTTTTTAATCTAATCCTTTTAGTGATCATCCATTTGTATTCTTAAAGTTGGCATATACGCTATAGGAAATAAATAAGAAAAAATTTTTATTTCTGAATAAAATACCCAGAAAAATAATTAAGGAAAGAAACAAAGAGAGTGGAAATAATAAAAAATATTTTCCTAATTATCCAGAAGACCAAAACTGAATTGACATGAATTAGGAATTTAAATAAATAGTTTCTATTTTTAATCATGGTTGAACGGAATTTACTATAAGTTAATAATTTAATTTAAAAACAATTTAAGATATTATATAATTTATTTTATAATTATGAAAACATTTCGCATTTATTACTTCATCTTCTTTCTTACGTATCCGAGAAGAATTTTCAATTATATTTTTAAATACTTCATGCTAACGATGATTAAATTATAAATGTATTAAAGGATTATAGTTTACAATTTAATTTATATGTTAATAATATTTTAGCATTCAATTAATTTACAAATGCAGAAATGAAAACCGTTTATTATAAATACAAAAAACCCACTTGTCACCATGTCAAATATCAAATGAAATGTTCAATGTTTAATGTCAAATAGGACTATTTAACCTCAAGTACAAATTTCCGTAGTCAACAAATGTTTAAACGTCGAGTGCATTTAACACGGCGTTAAATAACAATAAAAATACTGGTTAATCGTAATTAAGGTATTCCTATTTAACACTGTTTAGAGTGATATTTAGTGCTTTAAATACAACAAAATCTGGTATGGTGACATTTCAGGGAATGCAGAAAACATTTCCATAAAAATTAGTATCGAAACTCAATGTTTTGGTGCTTTTGGTATTGAAAGCCGTTTGATCTTAATCCGAATGAATTTTAGTTGCGGGAGGATCATTTACGGTTTGTCGTTGAATACACTGTTCATCGCTTTCAGAATCAGAACCACGTTGAACAAGAATGGATAACACAACCGAACATTGGTAGTTAGTTGTTGGTTCGCGTCTGACCTACGAGCTGGCCATATGGAATTTACCAGGATTTTGCACGTATCTAACAACTTAAATAGGGATTAGTTTCTCACAGAAGACCTTCCGGGAGACAATTTCTTTGACAGATCGCCTCACCGTTGCCTTATCCTATCAATCCAACCCACATTGAACAGTATAAGATCTCTGTAAAGCATGAGTATCTCGTTAAAGAAAATGTTTGTTGCTTTCGGCAACAAAATTGCCACAGTGATGAGTTTTGGTGCTAATTTTTTTTTCTTTTAATGTCTTGAATGTCGCCATACCAAATTTAATTGCAATTGGACTGTTAAATCTCTCTCTAGATAGCGTCGAACACGGTCTCTTACGACCAACCGGTACTTTAACATCAAATTAATCTGTCACAATCAATGTCAAATTTAATTACTTGTCAAATTTATCTCCGAAGTAGCGAATGCACCTGTATATAAATATACATAATATAATCATTAGTATGCGTTCGTAAATGTAAAATGTGACTTTCATGGAAGATAATTTAAAATATAGTTAAACAAAGATGTTTTCTGTTAATAATGTAGGAAGATTATTTAAATTTTTGATGAATTTTAAATAATGTTATCTGATTCTAATTGAAATATTCTACGTGCAATACATGTAATTGATAGTGGCTTCATATAAATATCTATCAAATCAAATCAAATATCTATTAATTAAATGTTTTGCTGATATAATTATTATTTTCGTGTTTTTATTCACGCAACTTTCGATTCTCTACTTAAAATCTCTTCAAACGTTGATGATTCCACTTGCACAATACTTACATCTCGAGTATTCTCTTACTTGTTTATATCAAAATCTTTCATTCTTTATGTTTATATTTTATCTAAATTTAATTCTAATGTTATTATTTACATTCTCTTATACAAAAAATACATATAAAAAATAGTGTTTACATATTTTATATAAATCTATTTTTCAGTTAACAATTCATGTTCTATAATCAATCTTTTAAACAACTTCTAAGTATGATAACTTATTCTGTATATTAATAGAATTAATTCTTAATTATTTAGGACTTACATGGTATTTACTTATGTAACTATTTGTTTACTTTACCGAAGCTGAAATCCGGAAAAAGGAATTTTTTTTTTCATTAAAGTACAAAATAATTTTTCAACTTTCTATTATTACCATCAACAATAATGTATATTCCCGTGCATAAATAATATAATTTTTTAAATATTTTTCTCGAAAATATGAAATATTTTCTTATAAAATTAACTAACACAGTATCGTTTTCATACTTTAATTATATAAATTCCATAAAGTTTAATTTTCCATTTGAGATCTTCACGTAATTATCATTATATGTATCATTTATTGTTATGCCCTGTTGATTTTTAGAATATTATATTAATTTATTTTTGTATTTTCTCAATATTACATTTTGATCAAATTCTAATTTTTAGTGTTTTCATTCGTTTCCGAAATCTTATATTTTAAGTATAATTAACGAAGAGTCAATAAATAGTTAAGTCCTAAGAAAATATAATAAAAAATACTGACATGAGCCCTTATTCAAATGAAAACTTTTTATATATATCTTTTTATTTCATTTTTTTCATGTAAAAAACAATCATTCTTAAGAAGAAAACAAACGTTTTTATTGAATTTTTTCCCATGTTCTTTTGTCCAGTCCGTTACTCTGAGAACGACAACAATAATTACTTCCTTATATTGTGAAAACGTGGAAATAATTGGTTAAGTCGAATTTAGAACCACAAATCGGTCAACAGTGGTGAGAGATTGGTGCCAATTCGTTCTTCAACCTTGTTATCTCCGCGAGCGACTTGACATGATTTTTAAATGGTTAGTGGAAAGGGAACGTTTTCGTGTTTAAATTATCATAATTATTATTTAATTTATGCATTTTTATATAATTTGTTGTTAAAATTGAATAATCAAATGAAGATATTCTACAAAAATCTTTAATTGTCTCGTTGATTTAGCAATGGATCACTTTGGAACAAAGCCGATTTTTAAGTAAGAGGAATTTAATATTAATAAAAATTCTATAATTCGAATTTTAAAAAAACACTCTTAGATTATATTAAAATATAGATTAAACTGTTTAAACATTCTCCTAAATAGAACATTAACATTGATTACGCGTACTATTTAGAAACCTGTTTCTTTTTAGGAAGAAAATAGTTAAAATATTTATTTGCTGAAAAATTTGAACTAATTATTAAACAATTTAAATAAAAATTTAGGATAAATGTTAAAAAATATAGAGTAAAAGGGAAAAAAGAAATGTTTCGAATCTGTTTGACAATTATAATTTATTGATATTTTGAAGTAAAAAAGACACGTTAATTTTCTATAAAGATCTTTAAAATGTGCTTCAAATAATAGAAATTTAATAAAGAAAGTGAAAAAGGTTATTTAAGGAAATTACAAAACTTTGAGTAGAAATGATTCTCGTATGTCAATACAAGTTCTTTGAACTGAAAATAAAATTCGACCTTTCTTTTCCTCTAGTAACATTGACCCGCGATTCACGAGGAAAAGTAATTCATGACATAAGCATGTGACTTTAAACTAACTTATGCTTTATGATTAATAAAAAAGAAAGAGGTTATGTTTTCATTATTAAGAATTAAAATTAGTTTCTTTCACACATAAAAACTTGAAAAAACTCTATTTAAAACATAGAAAGATAGAAGTAAACTAGAAAATTCGAACAAAATATCATAAAGAGTAAGATTCAAAATGATACATAACACTTATTTATTTATTTTTTAAACAGCCACGAATAAAATTTAGCTAAATATAAATTAATTTTATGAATAATAATAATAATCTTTAGATACTTACATGAATTATCACTTAATAAGTATAATTACATCGGCAATTATTACCTTATTTACATACTTCTGATTTCATAAAGTTCGCTGAACTAATGAAAAAACTAATAAATTGTGTGAAGATCACGCATTATATATATACGTATAACGTTACAGAATCAATACTTCTGATTTAGTAAAGTTCATTGATCAGTATGCCATTTGGATGTGTGACCGAAAATAACCGACTGTTTGAGGTCAGTGCAACATCCTAGTAAACCAACCTGTATATGGGTTACATGCTACCTCTCCCTTCATTTCCTTCTCAACTCTTCTCTAGGTAAGTTGCTATATTTTCGCGCTACTTTAGATAAACGTAATCATTTATTGTTCTGTTGAGAACTTATGTAATAGCCACGTAGATAAGTGCCGATAGTTGAAAGAATTTATATAATTATTTATGTTATTTCTACTTTAATTGGCTCGAGCTTTATACTAAATATAAAAATTAAGCAATTTAAATGCATTATATTTTTAATTAATCATATTTAAGATAAAGATTTATAACTGTATTTTAAGTTTAGATTATCAAGAGAATGCGTGATTTTTAGTAAAGATGGATTTTAAGAAGTTTTGCGTAATTTTAACAACAGTCCTCTCGTGGTTTCTGGTGGGTGCTACCACTACACATTCACCAGGTATTACTTTAGAATCGTTACCCGTAAATAGAACAGCAGAATTAACTAGTTCCAAAAAATTTAATAATAATAAACCATCAATATCGAATGAAAATGAACATTTTGGCATAAAGAAGGAGAATAATAAACCCGAAGAAGAAGAAGATCCCGAAAAAGAACTGATCGATTTTCTCAATTCCATGAAAGGTTTCATTAGAGACATGTCAGATAAAGCTTTGAAACAATTGCTTCCTATCTTCATGTCCATGAGTTCAGAACTGAAATTATCTAACAATTGCACATTTGCATTTCTTCAAGTTGTCAGGGGATTAAGAGAGTTTCGGCCATGGACAATGAAATGTAAGTATTTTATTAATTAGATAATTTTAAAATATTTTCGTTATAAAATTCTAATTTTTAAGCACTTAATTGACCTACCAAAATTTAATGAAATATGTACTCAATATATCTGGCTTTATTTAATAGACAAATTTTCCATGAACTTGAAGGATTTCTCTTAAAAATTTTAACCATTAGAATATGCTTAAACTTTTCAAATTTTAACAATGTTTTCTTTTTTTTTCAAGAAATTCTTAACAGACTGATGCATACATTCTAAAAATATATCCGATTTCTAATTCCAATAATTATCCAATAGAAAATAAAATTAGAAAAACTCAAACGAATTGTAAAATGTATACTTAGTATTATATTCGTATGCCTACCGTTACCGTCTGGTACCTATTATTGTATATACAATATGCTTAAATGAATCATAATGTGTACAGAATATATTGTAAAGTCATAAATAACAAGCATGTTACGTGCATTATCATTATGTAAAATTATCAGTGCTGAACTGATTATGGCGAATAAGTAACTGAATCATTTCCCTGTTCGAATATTTAATCTATTGTAATTGATTAAAAATTAAATGCTTTCTGATAAAGATTTTATTATATTTAAATGTACTAATGATGTTTATTTTAACTCCAACGAATTAATTTTTTTCCCATCTTTATGACATTTTATATATAAATAAAATCATCGGTGCAACATATTTTCTATAAGAAAAAATTTAAAATATTTTGAATTTAAGCGTAAAATCCGTTATGGGTCATGAATATTACGAGATAAATTTTATTTTTTAAGGAAAATTTAAGATAAATTTTTTTGATTTTTTTTTAAATTTATATTTTAACACAGTTTTTAAACAAATTTGAAATTAATTTCAAATACTTACTAAAAAATACTTTTAAATATTTAGAAAAATTTATATGTTTTAACATTTTTATATCTATCGTGTACCAACAAGTCTGGAACTATAAGAGTTATGTTAATCTTTGTTTATCATTTTATATTTAGAGCTTGGCTCTAAGTAAGGAGAAACGAATTCAAGTTATTCTGATGGTAAAGATCCTATACAGATGAACAGACTGCCCACTTTCCACCAATCATACATTGCAGTCTGAATGCAATTTTTTAAACTCTTCAGTGATTTTTTTGCTGACCATGTATCCATACAATGAAAACAACTTGAATTTCTTCTTCTTTACTCCGTGCTATCTGTAAAAGAATAAACAAAGATCAATATAGTTTCTTTGGTTCCAGACTTATAGGACACCTTATATAACAGTTATTGTTAAATAAACATGCTTACAATTCTAAATGTTCAAAATTTTAAATGAATAAGTTATCATTATATAATTTTATGCTTTATTTACTTAGAAAAGTATCTTAATTATATTTTTATAATCTTTTTGTTTTTATATTAGATAAAATATAATAAACGATCTGATAAACTTATTAATATATGTCAATAGGTCTGTAGACGAATTTCTTTCTTTGTAGTGATAGATGCCAATAGTAAAATACCAGAAGGAATTTTATATGGTTCCATGTCCACCTTTGGCTCTTACGACGAATGTTTGAGCGTTGTAGTAGATGAAGAGGATCCTAATTCCATGAAGGGGCAATACTGCTCGATTAATATTAGTCCATATCTCCCACCAAGACCAAGGCAATATACTTTTGATTCAGCATTTCAAGAATATCCTGTCTTAAAGAAAAAACTTCATGTAAGTAGTAAATAAAATTAAAATCTTTACACGAGTTGTGAACTTTTTTTTCTCGTAAAATTAATCTTAGTAACTTACTAGGAAAGAAGGCTTATGTATTTTTAACGTTTATCCTTATAAGATACAGTTTCTATCTTTAAATTTTCCTACGTTGCTAAAATAATTCATCTAATTATATTTTTAACGTGTTAAACCAGAAATATTTTAGCGTTCTGCTTTATTATCATAGCTGAAAATAGAAAAGTAATTGCCAAAGCGAAACAATTTAGCCATTAGCCATGAACTTGATAAGAATTTTTTAATGGATTATTTTTAAAATTCGCCAATACAGATTAAGGAACAAATTAATTATCCTTTATCATAATTAGATATTCTTCTTTTTTTATGAATTTATAAACGCTATAAAATTTTTTATTTAATTAATTTAGAAAATTTGTGTGCTCAAAATGTTAATATTTTTTCAATGTAATTGCAATTACAAGTATTGAAATTCTTGTGTGCAAATGTTATCAATAGTATAGCATTTTCTAAATGGAAAATAATCTTTACAAAACACTTTTGTAAATTGTAAAATAATTATTTTGTGAAAATGCAACAGTTTGTAAGAGAAAAGGATTGGATTGATAAAATAAACCTGACAAATAAGAACGATCTGCCAAGATGCCTCCTGAGAGGACTTTCCATGGGAAACTGACTACTATTTAAGTGCTAATTAGACACATAAAGAAACACGTGGCCAGTTCGTTGATTATAGGAAATTGACCCATATTTAGGTGTTAGACACGTGAAGAAAACTCACAACAATCTCGTTGGTCAGATATAAACCCACTAACAACAACTATCAATGTTTAGTGGTCTTATCCACTCGTCTGTCAGACCTGAGATAATTCTGCTTTTTCTTTTTTGCTATAATCTAGAATATTGTTTTTAAAAAATTAGCAAGAACCGTTAAATTTTTAATAATAATAATCGAGAAATAAATTCGTGCACGAATCTTTATTGAACTTTTAATTTATTCACAATCTAACAGAAATTTTATTATGATAAGTAGCAAACAATTTTAATATTTACGTAGATTTTTAATATAATTCATCGTCCAATTTTAATAAAATTAGTCATAAATTGCAATTTAGAACGGATGATGAGAAAGTTAAGAGTTTATTGTTCAAATCGTGATGGTTACTTAATGACCTGTGCCATGAGAATCTAAACTTTCAGTTCGTGGAGTTTTAATTTGTCTTCCTGCTTTCCCTAATAACAATATTTTATTTTAAAAATTCTAATTTTAATTCTTCTAAATAGGTAAATGTGAACGAACTCGAATAAGATAGTTAACGTAATTTTTCGNACGCGGTAGCATTTCCACACATGCGCCGCTAACATCGTAAAATATAAAAATTCGAACATATCAAAAATTAGTTGCACGTTCTTAACGGAATTTCCGGACACCTGTTTGAATTTAAATATTTTGTTCCTTTGGAACATCCTGCACGTTTGTCTAGTTAAAATTTGTTCTTTTCACCTGAAGACGACGATTATACATTCGTCGTGTTAATACTAAAGGAACTTTATTAACGCTGAACTCAGTGAATTTGTATCCATAAGTTAAACCTTCATATAATTTTAATTCTTCTAAATTGGTAAATGTGAACGAACTCGAATAAGATAGTTAACGTAATTTTTCGAATTAATAATCAAATTTAGCATAAGTCTAATGAAATATTTAAGAATAATTTTAGTTGATAATTCGAGAAAAAAAGACAAATCTCATTATAATCGTGACATTCTGAAATAAGTCATTGACTGAATTTAACTCTTTGTTAGTGAAATGACAGTCAAAATGTGTATAAATAGTAGGGACAAAATCTTTTTATTATTAAGATTATCCTGGTTTAAAGGAACAAATTTATGTACTAAAGTTGAATAGCAGCATTTATCTTTGGAGGAAATTTATATAATATGAATGTTTTGAGTTTGAAAATGAATTTAAATCGAAGACATGGGGTTAATCGCATTTAAAAAACGATTTTTCCTATTTTTATAAAAATGTACTCTTGATGATAAAATCTCTTGTAAACAAAACTGTATTTAATAAAGTTGGATATATTTCATTCATAGAAAAAGATAAATATACTAGAATTTTGAATTGCAAAATTGAGGATAAGTACACACGACACGTTTTCACACGTGCGATTCCGAGAAGACAATGGCTTAGTACAGTGGCGTACCCTCGCCTGTGTGTACACCACTGTACTAAGAATTGTTTTAACAAGTGCATCCTTCGTTTTGTATTTTTTCTGAAAAGTTCTAAATAAAATCTTATATAAATATAGGCAAAGTAGAAAGAAAAATAAATATAAAAATAAGAAAAATAATTTCAAATTTTTATTATACAATTGAACTTCGTTTATACGTTTCTCGGTGGTTTATGAGGTTATGAAAACCATAAAGTCAGTTAGTTTATAGCTTCTCATTTGTACAATTTTCGCAATTATACATTAGAAACTTTCTGCACGATACTTTATTATGAAATACTTTATTCATACGATAATTTTCTCAGTTCCCTTGAAAAACATTCAAAGATTTTACTGTACTTTATTAAGTTATAAAAAAATTTTAGTAATTTTGTAACTCGAGATGCATGATATAATATTAATTTTGATATGTTTATTCACCTTACTTTTAAAATGCTTCTAATTATATTCGCAGTTTTCTTTTCTGTTTTTATTTTTTTAAGNTTAAGTAAGAGGAATTTAATATTAATAAAAATTCTATAATTCGAATTTTAAAAAAACACTCTTAGATTATATTAAAATATAGATTAAACTGTTTAAACATTCTCCTAAATAGAACATTAACATTGATTACGCGTACTATTTAGAAACCTGTTTCTTTTTAGGAAGAAAATAGTTAAAATATTTATTTGCTGAAAAATTTGAACTAATTATTAAACAATTTAAATAAAAATTTAGGATAAATGTTAAAAAATATAGAGTAAAAGGGAAAAAAGAAATGTTTCGAATCTGTTTGACAATTATAATTTATTGATATTTTGAAGTAAAAAAGACACGTTAATTTTCTATAAAGATCTTTAAAATGTGCTTCAAATAATAGAAATTTAATAAAGAAAGTGAAAAAGGTTATTTAAGGAAATTACAAAACTTTGAGTAGAAATGATTCTCGTATGTCAATACAAGTTCTTTGAACTGAAAATAAAATTCGACCTTTCTTTTCCTCTAGTAACATTGACCCGCGATTCACGAGGAAAAGTAATTCATGACATAAGCATGTGACTTTAAACTAACTTATGCTTTATGATTAATAAAAAAGAAAGAGGTTATGTTTTCATTATTAAGAATTAAAATTAGTTTCTTTCACACATAAAAACTTGAAAAAACTCTATTTAAAACATAGAAAGATAGAAGTAAACTAGAAAATTCGAACAAAATATCATAAAGAGTAAGATTCAAAATGATACATAACACTTATTTATTTATTTTTTAAACAGCCACGAATAAAATTTAGCTAAATATAAATTAATTCATAAAATGTTGATGTGGTTCAGTGGAACAATGCAACACCAGAGCGATCTGCCAAAGAGGGTGATTCTCGAGAGGACTTTCTATAGAAAACTAGCATCCCATTTAGGTGATAGACATGCAAAGAAAACCCGGAAAACACGTGGCTAGCTCGTTGGTGAGCCTCACAACCAATATTCAGTTGTTTGATAAACTCAGCCATTCATCTGAATTTCATCTTACTACAAAAGAAATAATAGATAAACACAGGAAATCTATTTTTAATGAGATATTTCTAAATAATAGCAACTTCTGTTTATATCGTAGGAACCTGTTAATAAAAATATTTTGTTCTGACAAAAACACACCGTTGGAAAAAGCACACTCCTTGTTCTAGCAAAAGTCAATTCTCACGTTGGTTGGACGTAAATATGCTTTTTCCAATTACAAAACGTCCTTTTTCTTAAATTACTTTTTATTGTTTAATCTAAAGAACATTCAATAAGAAAGGTCTGAGGGGAGAATCGAATTCGGAACCATCCTCAAAATACATTTTCATATCTTCGTCCTGGTGAATTAAATATGGTTTGCATAAAGAGTTTCTCAAAAATAATTTTCTTGAATGATAAATATTAAATGTAATTACTTAAAATTATTGATGAATTGCATATTAATTAAGAAATGATTATAATTGGCTACTTTATTTTAAATAGAAAGTACAGTACTGTATTTCTTAACTACGTTAAATCGAAATGTTACAATACACTGTAATGTAGCTTAATAGCACAATTTTTAATTATATATTAACAGAAATTTAATGTTTTGTTGTATTATTTTATTTATAAAAGTTTTTATCAGTAATTATCTACATTTCTTATAATTTAGGAAATGCACATGAGTGATTTGATGCCTTCTTATTATTTTATCCAACATCGATTCGGTTTGTGTCTTCCTTCGTCATGTAGCAGGAAAGACGTCGAAGAGATGACTTCATTAGGTATGATTACCTATCCATGTTTTTCTCTATTTTAAGCAAATTTTGTAAGAATAACATCGTGTTAATTATATTCTAAATATAATTTGATACCATTATCATGATTCTACATCATCATTACTGTTTATTTCGAACAATTTAGGACAAACATTTGCCATTTAAGCTGAAACGTTCTTCATCTCTCCAGCTTCTTTTCATTTAGATCCCAAAATAAACGAAACTATTATTGCCGGATTTGTATACATAGGCTAAGCTAAACAAACTGTAGCTTATGCCTCGCGTTTTGAATCTATAGTTTACATTTTTATATGTATTATTTGATGGAGGGGAAAAGGCCTGTTTTATGTTATAGCTTAAGGCCACAACCGGTTTAAATCTAGCCTTAGAAGTCGTAAATTCTCACAAGAAGAGAGCTTACGTCTCTCTTTCCGTAAGTTATTCAAAGCATAACTATGTTTAATGTAATAAAAATGATAAAAGAGGAATGTTTTTTGAGTGATACAATGTTTTTTATGTAAAAAAGTTATAATTCTTGGTAGGAAAAATTGATATTAAAATCTTGTAAAAGATTGCCTTGATCTAGTTTACTTTAAGTTGCTTCTTGAATACAAAGTTTAAAAATGTGTCTATGAAAGCAAAATACGAATAAAAAATAACTTCTTATCCATGTTGTGAATTATATAGTTCACCTAAATTTATATTATAGAAATAGCTTTAAATTTAAATACATAATTTATTCAGAAAATTATTTTTTAAATAGTTTTTTATAGTCTAGTTCTTCTTCTAATAAATTTTGTTTTAAATTAAATTATATTATGTTCTCATTACAATTACATTTTATATTTCTGTTAAATTTAATTTATTTATCGTAAATTAAGTTAATCATAAATAATATGCAAATTGTTAAAATAATATATAATTTATATTTTAATTTCAATTATATTAACATTATTCAGCATCATTTCTAATGCATTTTAAAAATAGAACACATTATAATTAATTTATTTGAATAATTTTTGAATAATTAGTATTTTAAAAGTAGAAAACGTTTTAAAAATATTCAGTTTGAAGTTATTACATAGTTATTTTTTTAATAATTTTTATTCGTGATATATACTCATCATAAAAAATGAAAGGTTGGGATTTATGCAATATATTTTAATGATTTTAAATAAAATTATTCGTTTATTAAACTTTTTAAAATATACTTGTGTATAACATTATTTGTATTATATGTCCTCTGGGCTATTTGTTCTTGGGCTCTCCGATTTACTGGTTATCTTGTGCTATGTTGCTAAGGGGCAATGGTAATTAACAGAAATAATGTCTTATGCGCTATTGCTGTATTGAAACATTTTCAATTATACAGGGTATTCGGCTTAGAGGTTTAATAAAAGAAAAGCGTATAAATTGAAAACCAACGACGACGTAGTGGATGTCCAATTTTTTATTTCACTTCAACCACGCATTCAAAAGCGTCCATAGCCTGACAGATTTTGTCTCAGGTCATTCAAGTTATGCACTAATATACGATAAACTTGATTCATAAAATCTCACAAGAAAAAGTTCACTGGGATAAGAACCAATCTACCGTCTGGGAAACTCCATTCAGAAATTGTTTTATCTATATCGCAAAGTGGGAGGGGACACATCTTATTGAAAAATGGTGCCAGGAAGAAGTTGAGGGATAGTGTAAGTCGCAGCATGTCCGAATAACTTGTTCCAGTCATTGTGGTCTATTGTCTGATCCTTCATTAACGTGCACCGATTTGCCCTGTATTTCTCAAAAATTACCCAAATGTTAACAAAATACACAATTATTTCCACAGTCCGATACAAATACAATGCAAATTATAATTTTTTTTATTAAACCTCTAAACCAAATACCCTGAATACATATATACCAAAAATATACATAAATATGCTCTTGTATATTTTTGTATATTATTGGACAGTGCCGCGTATTCCTATGGTCAAAAATGACAATTGCCTGGGGCACCCACTAGCAGGAGGCCCAAATCAATCTTTTATAACAAAATATTGCCCCTAAAATAATTCCTGTAGAAAAATGCCTAAAATCAACACCGTACATGGGTCCCTATTTCAAATTCGCTGGGTCCCATGAAGCTATAACACTACATTGTACTTGAACCACTTAGAGATTTTCTTATAGCTGTGTGTTGATATTGAACGTCCATATGCTTCAGTCTATTATTGGCTACTGTAGTGGAGAGCTGACTTCATTCTAGCATGCAAATATTATTTTAATTTTATTTTAATAAAAAATAAAATGAGATCAGATATTCAGCAGCCAAATTTCGTATGGTGTCATTTCAGGATACGCGAAAGTCATTTCGTACCAAAACTCTTTAATGTAGTGTTGCAAACAACGAAAAGTTCTAAAAAAATATTAGTTATAGAACACTTAATAAATGTGATTTATTGAGGATATGTTGCAAATTGCAGCCTACTGATAACACATTACGATCAGCCATTGAACACACTGTTGAACATCGCCTTACAACTTCAGAATGGAAACAATATTAAGCAGTATAAGATCTCTGTATAGCACAGGTCTTGTATAAATAAAATGTTTATTGCTTGAAGAGCTAAAAGTACCACAGTACGAGTTACTAATTCTTTTATGAAAATATTTTCTGCCAGTCCTGAAATGCCACTATACCAAATTTGTTTGCATTTAGATTGCTAAATAAGCTATCAGAGTGTTAAATAGGTATATTTTAATTACGATCAACATGTAATTATATATATATTTAGATTTATATGTTTTAGATTATTTATAAAAACATTTTCTTGGGCTTTTAAATAAAATTTCTTAATTTTAAAATGACATAAGTTATAAAAACGTAGAGATATATTACATAATTTAACTAAACTTTTACATAAAATAACAATAATGTTAGAAGGAAACAGCATTCATTTTTGTTATCGAATTATCTTAATAATACTTCTGCTATTTTTTAAAGCAAAACTAATTATTTATTAACTTTGAATATGGAGAAAATATTAAGATATATCTATTCATTTAGTGAATTCATTCATGTATTTTAATAAACCAAATGAAGTAAAGCATTATTAGATTAATAAGGATTAAACTATTCTACCATAGAATATTAATAGATTTTAAAAATACTTTGGTATTATGTAACACTATTAAGGCCACATAAATCTAAGTAGAGAAGACATTTGGCCCAGATCCGGACATAAAGGACCCCAAAACTTAAACTTTTTATTAAAAAATACGATAAGAAGTTACCATAAATTAAATTTTATTATGATAAACGATGAAAAAAATTCTATTATTATTTGTTTTATTCCCGTATTTTTATTGCTTTCGGGGTCCATATTTTGTGATTAACCCGGAAACAGCTATCTTCTTTCAAGCCCCGAAGCTAGAAGATTACAATGATTTAGAAGTAATTTTTTTATTTATAAATTTACATAAAATCATTACAAAATATTTTTCTAGTTACTCATATTAATACTTCGTTGAACAATAACCTAAATCGAACAATATGTTAGAAAATAAAATAAGCAACTTTTCGGAATGGACTATTTAGAATAAACGGATGAATAATTTAATTTTAAAAAAAGTATGCATTCTTAACCTTTTTTCCCCTGGCATATTCTAATTAAGGAATATTGTCACTCGTTATTTATAAATTGCTCATAATATAGTTTTTACAGTAAACAATAAGTAAAGAGCTATCAATAGATTTTAAGGAGATACTTCAATTATTCCAAATTATTAATATTTTCTATTATATAAAAATGAATATAAACACACACACATATATATATTTATTTATATATTTATAATTGTATACACACAATATAAAGATTCTCAGTGACTTAGTTATAAATAAGAAATCGCCCTTCTAAAGCATGAAACCGCTGAACACCAACAGGCTGGCCACGTGGAGTTTTCCAGATGTTTTTCACGTGTTTAACACCTAAATAGTGGCCAATTTCTCATAGAAAGTCCTTTTTGGAAGCATCCTCCTTGTCAGATGTGTTGCAATTTCAATATAATTCTAGTTTCTACTAACTATGCACAATGAAAATGATTTGAGCAATCTTAAACTGTAGAAGTATGATGGATATTATTCTGAAATTATCTCATATGGATGGAATATTTTTTCATGAGGCTTTAACTGAGTTCAACTTATGGATACTATCAGATCGATTAAAGCGACCAGTATAAAAATTTAGTAAAGTTCTAACTTAATTTATTCGGTAGGAATTGAAGTATTCATGAAAATATATAATTCAAATCTTCTCTTGTGGTTGGTTTTATCATGCTTTTTGTCAATACAACAAAAGTTCAATTATCCATATGTGTGATATGTATTTAAATTATTTCAGATGTTATTTATTCAACAACTTCTCTTTGCGTTATTTTGTACATCTGTTTCTTCTTCGAATCAATCGAAATCAAGAAAATAAAAGGGCATTACTATAGTTATCCTGTTTTATTGAACAATAGACATAACAGATGTATCTTATTTCTAAATTATGCAGAGAAGAAAGATTGAATACACGTAATATATAACATTTTCCTCAAAATAATAATAATTTGATGTGGAAGAAAACGTAAAAAATATAATGTGAATGAAAATAAAAAACTTAATATCTAAATATTACGGTCTTCTATCGATCCACTTTAATTCGCTTGTGCCAGTAAATATAGGTGACGTATGAGTCGACCAAAATGGCTGCCACAAAGGGTATAGCGTGCGTGGCAACATACGAGAGTTACACGTGTGTTGTCTTTTTAATGTATTTTCTCTCTGTAGTCAAAACGTTTTATTCGCATTTGTGTCCGACATTAATCCTAGTTGATTTCGTAGTTGTTTAAGTCATGATGATTACACCTTATGACATTTTAGAATATGTGGGTAATCGGAAAAGAGGCCTTATAAGGAGAGGAAATGCTAAAGAAGGAATATTTTTCGTATATCTTGGTTAATTTTTATGTTGTGGATGGCAAATCCTGCGCAAAGAAATATTATGGCCTTGAAGAGGGCGTGGGTGATTATATGAAAATAGGCTAACTTTCATAGGTTTAAGGATAAGGCTAATATTATAATTAAAACTGATAACTTCATATCTATCCACCTCTTAGCAACTAATTCACTTCAGTTTCACCAACACCTAATTTTGCTGTGCTTAAAATTCTTTTATTTTTACAAACGTTTTTAACCTATCTAATATAGACCATCGTCAGGTTTAATATTATAAATGTTCCAAAATGGAACGTACCGTTTTTGAATATTTTACATATTTAAAATTCAAAAAAGTAATTTAACTTCAAAATAAATTGAAAGAAGTGTGTATATTAAATAAAATAAAATATAGAAAACAAAGCTAACTAGAAAGAAACATGATTTAAGGGTTTTTAAGTCCCATTATTTTTTCTGTTATATATTTTCATTTTATATACCCCAGCTTTCTCTTCCTTTTTTATGCTATCTTTATCGTTCCGTAGCAAGCTATAGATATTGGGTGCTCTTTTTCTTATAAAAACTCGAGAATGGTCTATAAAAGAGCACCCAAAACCATGTTTCTTTCTAGTTAGCTTTGTTTTCTATATTTTATTTGTTTATTTACTTTTTGAATTTTTCCGTCCGATGGCTGGATTATTGTAAAATAAATCAAAGACAAGTCTGTCCAAAAGGGATCACCATTTATTTTGCATTTCAGACTACACATACACATTAATGGCGACAGGCCTTCCTTTTTTTGGGCTTCATGCCGCCAAAGGTAAAAAAAGTCCTTTAAAAAACGCAAACATCCAATTAAAAGTAAAAAGAATCGGTGACACACAGACGTCTTACTTCAATGGTGATCCCTTTTAGACAGACTTGTCTTTGATTTATTTTATTTACTTTTTATTTATTTATTTAATATACACACTTCTTTCAATTTATTTTAAAGTTAAATTATTTTTTTTAATTTTAAATATGTAAAATATTCAAAAACGGTACGTTCCATTTTGGAACATTTATAATATTAAACCTGACGATGGTCTATATTAGATAGGTTAAAAACGTTTGTAAAAATAAAATAATTTTAAGTACAGCAAAATTAGGTGTTGGTGAAACTAAAGTGATAACTTCAGTTTTATTTCCTACTTTTTTCGATGTAATTTATTTTTTGCGAATGTGCGCATATGTACTGAGTTTGATGAACCTTTAGACTTGCATGTAAATTCACAGCAATACTTATTATTTACCATTGTAGCTTGAACACTTTCTAATTCTAACAGACCACAGACTTTACTGCAGTCAGACTTTATACCCTTAGCAGCCGCCATTACGTAGTTCGCGTTAATACCGCTAGATGTCAGATCTATCGTTGGCACAAGCGAATTGTGTAAAATTTTAATTTTATAAACAGAGAAATCTATTTTAGTAAATAGTTTATTGATTTATCAACAGGATAATGAGGATTCAACGTAACTATATGAGGAGCCATTAGGATGATTCAGATCCTGTTTATTTATTTATTTTTACTTTCCCGTTATGTACAGTATAACAGGGAAAGTATGGCGATCGGTCAAGAAATGACCCCAAGATTTTTACATTTTTAGATTTATGAAACGTCGAAAAATGCAAAAAACATTCGGGTTTTTTTGTATGTGTGTGTGGGGAAACGAATTTTTTCACCCTCTTTGAAGCTTAATAACTCCTGTGCTTTTTGATCTAAAATTTCTAAAATTTTGCAGAAAGATTTGTGTATTAGAAGCATTGATGCCATTAAATTTTGGTGGTTAAAGGTCAAGGGGTTAATGAGATAGAGAAGGGGTCGTTATTAGCATTTACAATTTTTTAAATTTTTTAAAACTCATCTCTTTCCTCAAAATTAAGCTTTTTTTGCCGTTTTATAACAATTAATAATATAGTAACATAATATGAAAGCAATGTAAAAAATTCATTTGTAATTGGCCCGTTTCTCATCGCACTTTTATTAGGTTCCATATACCAAATAATTAAATTTTATAGTAAATTCTTATTGTATTAAATCATCTCTAATCGTCTGATCAAAAATTTTCGCCTATGTCTTAATGATAAGATCAATATTTGCTTATTAATAGTGTTATATTAGTCAAGAAGAGTTATCTGATGTTGTTAAAATATAATATTTATTCTTATAGATGAGTTCATCTTTTTCCCTAATATTTTGACTTTAAAAATAGTTTGTATTTTTAATTTTTATTTTTAAATGTGAAATAAATTTAAAATAAAATTCTTCTAAAAATCTCTTTATCCACTCATTTGAGTGGATAAAGAGATTTTTTTAAAGGAGTATTTTAAAATTAGAATTCTACATTTAAATGTTTAACGTTTTAACGTCCATATTAACAAACAAAGATTAAGAGTTAGAAGCGAATACAGTAGCGGGAATAAAAATATATTACAGACAGTAGAGTAATAGTTCTAATTACGCTATTATCTGCAATATATTTTTATTACAGGGCCTAAATTAGAACGTGCAAACCTACAATCATCCTGTTTACCATGAATGTAATCTCTATGCAGTGTTTCTCAACCTCTAACGAATCGTCGCCCCTTTCAACGTAGTATCGCCCCTTCAATAAAACCGTTACGTAGTATCGCCCCTTCACTTCAAAATTCCGATGCCCAGGGCCAAGGCTAACGCCAAATTCGTACTGCATTGAATAGACTAGTGACTAGTATAATATTATTTGTTTAATTGTTGTACGATATAACAAATAAAATATCTAATTCATCTTAATATAATGTTTTACTATATCGCCCAGAAAATTGTTTTTCGCCCCCAAAATATTAATTGTTACTAATCGCCCCCTCAACATGGAAAAACGCCCACATGGGGGCGATATCGCCCCCGTTGAGAAACACTGTTCTAAAGCTAGGGCCAAGAGTAAATTCTTAGATATTGTACTGTACTGTATAGTATATACACGTGTATAAGTGAGTTTATCACATTTGAAATTTTTTCCCTGTGCTTATTTTTTCTTAATTTATTTATTTACGAAAGACACGGGTTACCTGAATCCCTCTCTGGTTACGCTTCTGGTTACAGAAACAAATGCTTTCTCTACATTTTAAAAACTATTTTTTTGACACAGATAACTGAATTTCTGTTACACTAATGCTTTTAATTTTGTTATTTTCATAAATAGAAATTTTTATCTTAATATTTTGTTTATTAATGCAGATAATAAGCTTGTTTTTCTATAGTAAAATTTATATATGACATTAAAAATCATTTAAAAAATGACTCTTATGTTGTCTTATATTAAACTTTGCGAATTTTATAAATTATACCTCTTTATTATCATCTCTTTTATAAAATAAAATTAATTTAATTTAATTTTTCTTGACAGCATCTCATCACATGAAGATCAACGTGAGTGTTGTACATTGTGAAATCAAAACGGAATTAACTCTGTCTAAAGGACAGATAATTACTGGGTAATTAATTATATAAGAGCATTTAAGCTTAAATTTTATATAAATATTTAAATCCTTATTAATTTATTTCATATATATATATCTTTTTTTTATAGCTCACTTATACTTAGCGTTACAATCTTCATCGCGTTGGTGACTATGTTAGATGTTATTCCAAGGATTTATTCTTCGATTTTTAAAACAAAAACATTAAAAAACAAAGAAGAAAAACAAAGTAATTTAATCTTAAATATTAATTAATTATCTGTTTATTTTTTAAATATATATTTATATATTTTTTTTAGGTGCTTTACGCAGATTTACCGAAGCGTGTTCATTTTACAGTAACATAAAGTATATTTTAACAACGGAAACATCTACAAATTCCTTAAGGCCTCTTCATGGTATACGATTCATTAGCTGCACTTGGATAATTCTGGGTCATACCTATTATTGCAAGAATTACATCGAAATAGGNCCCCTTCACTTCAAAATTCCGATGCCCAGGGCCAAGGCTAACGCCAAATTCGTACTGCATTGAATAGACTAGTGACTAGTATAATATTATTTGTTTAATTGTTGTACGATATAACAAATAAAATATCTAATTCATCTTAATATAATGTTTTACTATATCGCCCAGAAAATTGTTTTTCGCCCCCAAAATATTAATTGTTACTAATCGCCCCCTCAACATGGAAAAACGCCCACATGGGGGCGATATCGCCCCCGTTGAGAAACACTGTTCTAAAGCTAGGGCCAAGAGTAAATTCTTAGATATTGTACTGTACTGTATAGTATATACACGTGTATAAGTGAGTTTATCACATTTGAAATTTTTTCCCTGTGCTTATTTTTTCTTAATTTATTTATTTACGAAAGACACGGGTTACCTGAATCCCTCTCTGGTTACGCTTCTGGTTACAGAAACAAATGCTTTCTCTACATTTTAAAAACTATTTTTTTGACACAGATAACTGAATTTCTGTTACACTAATGCTTTTAATTTTGTTATTTTCATAAATAGAAATTTTTATCTTAATATTTTGTTTATTAATGCAGATAATAAGCTTGTTTTTCTATAGTAAAATTTATATATGACATTAAAAATCATTTAAAAAATGACTCTTATGTTGTCTTATATTAAACTTTGCGAATTTTATAAATTATACCTCTTTATTATCATCTCTTTTATAAAATAAAATTAATTTAATTTAATTTTTCTTGACAGCATCTCATCACATGAAGATCAACGTGAGTGTTGTACATTGTGAAATCAAAACGGAATTAACTCTGTCTAAAGGACAGATAATTACTGGGTAATTAATTATATAAGAGCATTTAAGCTTAAATTTTATATAAATATTTAAATCCTTATTAATTTATTTCATATATATATATCTTTTTTTTATAGCTCACTTATACTTAGCGTTACAATCTTCATCGCGTTGGTGACTATGTTAGATGTTATTCCAAGGATTTATTCTTCGATTTTTAAAACAAAAACATTAAAAAACAAAGAAGAAAAACAAAGTAATTTAATCTTAAATATTAATTAATTATCTGTTTATTTTTTAAATATATATTTATATATTTTTTTTAGGTGCTTTACGCAGATTTACCGAAGCGTGTTCATTTTACAGTAACATAAAGTATATTTTAACAACGGAAACATCTACAAATTCCTTAAGGCCTCTTCATGGTATACGATTCATTAGCTGCACTTGGATAATTCTGGGTCATACCTATTATTGCAAGAATTACATCGAAATAGGTAAAATATCTTTTATACTGTAAAAATAAGTTCCAATCTGATGGGCAATTTAAAAAAAAAAAAACGTTACAGAAATATAACATGTAATTTATACACTCCTTCAATACGTAGAAAATACATTTTAGAATAATGTAACACGTGGTTGGCAAATAATTCGTAAATAAGGAGCGAACGTAATAATTTATATTCATCTTTTTTCTTAGACACTTTGCTAATTTCTCTTAAGATAGTCTATAAAATACAGTCAAATTTCGATATAGCCTCGTACACGGCCAATTAATGCTCGTGAATGGATCATGCTCATAATTAATAAATAGTTCGTTAAAATAATAATAATTAATAAATCCTTTGTTATCTCTTAATTACCAAATGTAGGATTTTGCATTGCAAAGAATATTATTATTACCAGATCGTGCGACTTTCCAACTCGAATCTCAAATTTGTGTGTAGATCTCATTATTTTAAATGATTTCTCTCGTGTGAAATTGTTTGGTTTAGCACTACACTCCATTTAGTGCCAATTTCGGAGGTGGCACTATATCGAGGTTTGGCTGTATCATATATTATTTAGATAATATCACGTATACTTTAAATTAAAACAATAGAGGAAAAGGTATTACGGAACACTNAGCACAGGTCTTGTATAAATAAAATGTTTATTGCTTGAAGAGCTAAAAGTACCACAGTACGAGTTACTAATTCTTTTATGAAAATATTTTCTGCCAGTCCTGAAATGCCACTATACCAAATTTGTTTGCATTTAGATTGCTAAATAAGCTATCAGAGTGTTAAATAGGTATATTTTAATTACGATCAACATGTAATTATATATATATTTAGATTTATATGTTTTAGATTATTTATAAAAACATTTTCTTGGGCTTTTAAATAAAATTTCTTAATTTTAAAATGACATAAGTTATAAAAACGTAGAGATATATTACATAATTTAACTAAACTTTTACATAAAATAACAATAATGTTAGAAGGAGACAGCATTCATTTTTGTTATCGAATTATCTTAATAATACTTCTGCTATTTTTTAAAGCAAAACTAATTATTTATTAACTTTGAATATGGAGAAAATATTAAGATATATCTATTCATTTAGTGAATTCATTCATGTATTTTAATAAACCAAATGAAGTAAAGCATTATTAGATTAATAAGGATTAAACTATTCTACCATAGAATATTAATAGATTTTAAAAATACTTTGGTATTATGTAACACTATTAAGGCCACATAAATCTAAGTAGAGAAGACATTTGGCCCAGATCCGGACATAAAGGACCCCAAAACTTAAACTTTTTATTAAAAAATACGATAAGAAGTTACCATAAATTAAATTTTATTATGATAAACGATGAAAAAAATTCTATTATTATTTGTTTTATTGCTTTTATTTATATATTTTTTTTAGGTGCTTTACGCAGATTTACCGAAGCGTGTTCATTTTACAGTAACATAAAATATATTTTAACAACGGAAACATCTACAAATTCCTTAAGGCCTCTTCATGGTATACGATTCATTAGCTGCACTTGGATAATTCTGGGTCATACCTATTATTGCAAGAATTACATCGAAATAGGTAAAATATCTTTTATACTGTAAAAATAAGTTCCAATCTGATGGGCAATTTAAAAAAAAAAAAACGTTACAGAAATATAACATGTAATTTATACACTCCTTCAATACGTAGAAAATACATTTTAGAATAATGTAACACGTGGTTGGCAAATAATTCGTAAATAAGGAGCGAACGTAATAATTTATATTCATCTTTTTTCTTAGACACTTTGCTAATTTCTCTTAAGATAGTCTATAAAATACAGTCAAATTTCGATATAGCCTCGTACACGGCCAATTAATGCTCGTGAATGGATCATGCTCATAATTAATAAATAGTTCGTTAAAATAATAATAATTAATAAATCCTTTGTTATCTCTTAATTACCAAATGTAGGATTTTGCATTGCAAAGAATATTATTATTACTAAATCGTGCGACTTTCCAACTCGAATCTCAAATTTGTGTGTAGATCTCATTATTTTAAATGATTTCTCTCGTGTGAAATTGTTTGGTTTAGCACTACACTCCATTTAGTGCCAATTTCGGAGGTGGCACTATATCGAGGTTTGGCTGTATCATATATTATTTAGATAATATCACGTATACTTTAAATTAAAACAATAGAGGAAAAGGTATTACGGAACACTGCGGGTATTATGGAACCACCCCATTTCGAACTGATAATGAAGGCGAACTGTAACGGATTTTGGCTGAACTGAACTAGGCAGACATCTATAGCAAGGGGAAAACCCGTTTTACTTTAGTTAAACGGTTGTCCGTATTTAATCAGCAAATTTGTTTTTTTCAAAATTCGCAAGTTTTGAATGCTAAGTGAATTTAATTATTTTTAAAATATAAATCGTGTAGTTGTAGGTTCACTGGTGCACGTATTCCGTTCCAGAGACTTAGGGGTACATATTCATCTGTGTGATGTTCGCGTTTTTTTAAATTTTGGTCTTGACAGACATAAGTTAATTCAAGATGGCGATGCGTGAAATACGGACCCCATTGGTGCTTTTACAGTAATATGGAACTCAACTCC